GAGAGGATAATTCATTTGCTGAACAAATTCCTCAGCTGATTTCATGGCAGCCCTCCTCTCATCTGGATTAGCATTTTTACCTTATTAATATAAAACGATAGTTCACATTACAACAATGAAGTGGTTCGATGAAAGGAAAAGTTCAGAAACTTCTTCGGAACACTGACATTTATTTTAATTTATTGCTGAGTCTAAGCTCAATTTGATTTGGGGGGGGGCAGCATAACTTCAAATGGCATAATAGAAAAGATTCTAGCAAAATGGTAGCAATTGATATTATTTACTGATTTAGGCAACAAAGCTTCTGATAACTGCTAGTTATGAATTGTTATCAAAAACTTAATTTAATCTGCTCAGGTTTACAGTTTCCTTTACTGATTACAGGAAAGAGATCTGTCATAGTAGATTTTTATAGCAGCTTTTTCATACTTGGCAACCTTAAGATGAGCAGCTTTTTCATACTTGGCAACCTTAAGATTTTTAACTCCCCAAATCCAACCACCAACATGTTTAACAGTATTTCCAGCATGATACATGTTTTACAGTATCAAGACATTCCAAGAGATAAAGAACAACAAACAAACACACAAACACAAACCCCTAAGAGAATCTATTCCTGCATAAAGATTTTATGACTTCACAACACTTTCATTTACATGTCCTGAACAATTTTACTTTTATCAAAGAACCAATTATAGAGAATGATCTACCAGGAAAGCAAACAAAGACCTTTCATCTCTTCAGAAACAAAAACTTCAGACTTTATATCAATGTATGTCCACATGCTAAAACAAAGGTTTCTTTGGAGGATTATGATAATGGAACCCCTAAAAGCTCAATTGCTCAGCAAATTCTTTCTGGCAGGTAAAAATCTTAGGAAATTTCTCCCTTTCTTTTTGGTTATTTTTTTTAAAAGATTTTTACTCTGTAGTTACACTAATAAAGCAGGAAGCTAGAGTGATTTATTGAATCCAGATATTCAATGGCCTTCCTACCTCATTTTGTTTTAAATGAGACCAACTTTCTTAAGAGTCTGAACAGAAAAATTGTCTCATGTCAATTTTATCTTCTGGGGCCAGTGACTTTCATTTCAAGCTTCTATTGGCATTTAAAAAGAAAGCAGAGAGACTTCCATTTACCTTTCCATACAAATATCTGTCTAGCTGCACCATAATCCAATATAAAACATTCTTCAGACAAAAGCATTGGTCTTGAGAAGGGATTTTCATCTGCAACAAGTGTAATCTTCATAGACCCACTGGCATCGGACACCTGAATATGCAGGACATTCACATGAAGATCAACTCACAGTTCAAGTAATTTCACTTGGTTACAACTTCTAAAGTTCATGTCTAAGGATGTACAGGGGGTGCCATTGCATTCAACTTTGAACTTTCAAATTTGTGCTCCTGATGCAACGAAAGACAACAAAAAGCTAGAATCTGGTTTATATTGTTTTATTAGTTTCAGTGGTTTTGCTTCAGGGTAATGCAATATGAGATTAAACTATAAAAAATTATGTAAATTTTAATTATTTAAATTAAGTAATCTTAAGTAATGTTAAATTGAAACTTTAAAAATGAATTATTACAGAGAGAGCTCTGCAAAGGAAATTGGCTGAAGGTTTACTAATAACATTCTTTATCGAATTATCTCCTAATAACCCAATTTCTTTTCCCGTAGCAGAAAGGAAGGAGAACAATTGCTGTATTCATCTCATTTGTTACAGCAATTTGGCGCTATAAAAATGAAAATGCAAGAAGCCAAAAATTAAAGCCTACATACACTTTAATTTCCCGCATACACTTTAATTTTCTAGTCATGCTAAAAACAGGAAACATTAAAATCAGCAGGGACTACAAGCTCCTTTATCTGAATACAGTCTATTTAGAAGTAAATATATCACACGTTTTGGAAAGGGGAACCAGGATCAAGTATAGCACTAAATTAAATACATGTAAATCCCTTTTCAGTTATTTAAAGTGGTACTTTTGCAGTACCAAACATCTTTTAATAAATATGTGCCAGCTTTCCTTTACTCCAGACATAAAAGAGGGTTAATCAATGTTTCATTCCATTTCCAAAAGAACCAGTTTCTGCTCTCATGCTTCATTTTCCATTGTTTCCAGAAGAGAGAGCTGAACTATTTTACTTTATAATTTGGTTAATTTCTCCTTACAATGCATTAGAATTCAAAAATAAAAATGACAATTTTATAGCATTAAAATCAAGTCACTGAAGTTCTTTAGAGAGAATATCACTTTGAAATTGTATGAACAATGTAAATCAGTAGGAAATTCTATTGTTTAAATCACAGACCAAAAAAACAAGATTAGTACCTTCTAGCTTTGATGGAAGAAAGAACCGGAGTGGCTGTTTGCGAAGTGAGTTCCTATTATTATCAGAGAGTATCACTAGGTAATCAAGAATAGCTGACATCTTTTTCTTGATCACCTTTTCATAAGAGAAGCAGTGGACTGTCAATTCTCCTCTCTCACACAATAACTATTTATAATTCTTCTGCATACATTTGTAATTACTTAGGCATATAATTGCAGGCAAATATTAGCACATGATGTTTTTCCTGGAATGGAGAACTATAAAATGTTAGAAGTCCTTTTCTGCTATTCAGTTGATAGTGAAAGTTTTCAAGCAAGGTAGAGAATCAACATACATAATAATAGTCACTTTCCTCTTCATTTCCAAGGGTTCAGTTGGATGATCTCAAGAGGAGCCAAACTTGCATTTACTTGAATATGCCCCTCCATAATTTTTTTTGCTTTAATGGGGCATCAGATAATACAGAAAACAGATATAGTATCCTTAAGGGAAAATTTTTTAGAACACAGGTTCAAAGTATCAGGTTGAAGGCAGCAGGCAAAAGCCATGGATGAATACAGCAGGGTGTCTTACAAACAATATCACAATCCAAATACCAGCATTAGTTATTTGAATCCTGATACCGATGCAAATATGTAAATTACAATATCTGTGTGATGATATTCTGTACTTGCCACATACAGTATGCATACTCGTTGCCTGTGGATATACATTGCATATTTTTAATGTGATAAATCTGTCATAGATTTAAATGGTTGAAAGCATTTAAATAACTAATTTAGACTGCCAAAAAGGGTACGAAAGAAGCATATCGCAGTAGCCATATCAAACCATTAAAAGAACATGCTTTCATTGCTCCATATAAAAATATATGCATAAAAAAGAGGATTCTTACCATGTAGAGTTTAGCATTTCGCCTGTTGGTAATATCAGCTGCCTCATCATCATTGTCATTGCCTTCCTGAAGATTTTGCTTGGGTCCTAAAACCTGAACATAAAGAAGTTGGGGCTGAAAGAGACCTAGGATGGCAAAGTAATATAAATAACCTGACTATCCTTTTTATTTATGGATAAACATTCTTGATCATTTTTGGTGATTTTGGTTATTTCAAAGTCGCACCAACATAAGCCCACCTAATTTTGCAACTTCAATCAGATGTCTTCATGCCTTTGGAAAGATGGATGACAAGAGGTTGATCTAAACCAGACACATGCTAGGAAGGTAGTGGGTATTAAACTTGCTCATTCATAGTATTTATCCAATGGAAAACTTTCATTTCATATGTGTTTATTCAAAACTCCATTGTTCCAATTTCCATGGAAGTTCACACAGAAATATGTATTTCATAATGTTCTTTTGAACTTATTCTTTCATAAAATGTACTTTTCTAAATATATACAACTTTCAAACTTAGACGGTCTAAAATATGTACTTGTTTCCTATCATAAAATTCAAACAAGTGGAAAAACCAATCTATCCACTAGTTGGTCTGGTCACATTGTCCACATTGAAAATATAGGATCAAAGAACAAAAACTAAATACTTACGGTAAAGAAAATTTATGGAAATTACGGTATGTTTACATCAATGAACAGGAGGCACTTCTCGGAAGATTTAGCAAAAAATGCTACTGAGAGATTACATAAGTCATTTTATATAAGCCATTCTATCCCACCTTGCCATCGCAAAATTAGGAATATTTTGGACTGATTACAAGAAAGATAAAATCTTTCAAATTAAGCTTGACTTCTGATGACTCCATGATCATGTCCACTGGTTTTCTTGGAAGAAATAGGTTTCCAGTGCCCTCTTCATATTATGAGCAGGGTTTTTTTAACTTTTCAAACTAGCTCAGAAGCCCTAATATTTCCTAGAGGTCTCCCATACAAGTATTAATTAAGCCCAACCCTGCTTAGTTTCCAAATCCATTTTATACACCTCTTAATGAATCACCAAATGCATTGTTACCTAGGTACATAGTCAATATGAAGATGGGTCAGCATTAAAATGAGGCTATTTATAAATATTTATCTAAGGGCAAATCCTGTGCAAATCTCAAAAACAGATGCACACTTTAACAATTGCCAAGTTTATAAAATTTGATATTTCGGATCTAAAAAAGTTATTCTGAGGCATCCTATACTGTATGTGACTTGTTTTCAAGTCTACTTCATTTTGATGGAAAGAAATATAATTGCAAGTTATAACTATATCTGTACAATTAAAATGAGAAAAGCAAATTCTTAAAATTGAGTTATATAGGCATCAAATGTGGGACCTGCTGGAAATTCACTGCCTAATATAAATACATCATTGAATTCTCTTCATATGTAGTAAAGAAAAATTAACCTCATTTGGATTAATGTCTAACCAGAATATATTTAAATAAGATATCTGCAATGCAATATTACCCAGAGTATATATTTATGAAGCAAAGTCCCATGTTGACAATGCAAATATTTGATAAGGGAGAAACAGCAAAGCAATATGATATAAAGATAATAAAAGCACCTTAAACATATTTAAAACAAGAAGCTACCTCTATATATTTCTGTCCTATCAAGATATTATGCAATAAGATAAATAAAATAGTATTTGCCAGCTGACAAATATAGTGGCATTACTTTATTCATGGTTTATGGCCTTTTCTTACTTTTCTGAGGAGATTAAGAGCAGACCCAACAGAATAATTATTCTCAGGGTAGTTGGGAAAATGGTCAACTGCCAAATTAAACAGTCCCTCCAATAACCTCCCATATATCATTTTTCCATCAGTTACAGTATACTGATGACCAGCATGTTTTTAATCTTATTTTAAATTATTGTTAATATTTCTGAAATCCCTAAATAATTGATTTGGGTTGCTTGGAGGATCATCTTTGCTTCTACATATCAATCTTTATGTTCATGATCAGGGATCCTGTTCATATGTTCATCACCATTTCCTTATCTCTAAGATGTTTTCAGTTAAATAGGCTATAATCAATGCAATTATATTTTGATTAAATCTGGGGTCCCTTTTTACATGCACGAAAATTCATAGTGGGCCTAGTCTTGGTGCTTCTTCCTCCCCCAAAAGGCAACTGGACTTTGTAGCACCTTTGGGACAACCTGGATGACTGAGAATCTCCATAGGCCCAAATAGGCCAGGCAATGTTGGTTTCAGACTAGCATATGACACTTCCTTGTAGGACATCAGGAGCACAAGTGAGCAGGGGAATAGCTGAAGAAGATAGTACCAGGATGGCCTCATTAGTTGTGGAACATGAAATGCTATGTACTAAGAAGAATCACTGCTCATTCAGCTGTTTCTCCTCAGGCAATCTACAACACTGGGCAGAAAGTGAGATGTGGCTGGGGAAAAATAAAAGCAGCAGCCAACAGCCTGGAGAGGAAGTTCTGATGGTATCGGCAGCAGCACTGAGTAAAAAGGGCAAAAGGAGGAGGGGTTTACTCAGCCGCTACTTGCCAGTTTTCTCTGGTAACATCATTAAGTCAGAAGTAGGAGAAAAAGCAGGCAATCAGCCTCAGACACATCTACCAAGTCAAGATTATATTGCTGGAATACTGTGGAGTATATCTTGTGCTCCAGTAATTGTGCTCATGGGAAGGAAGTTTGAGATTTCTAAGCAGTTTTAAACTTTGTTCTAATGCATCTGGGTTTTATTTTAAAGTTTAAAGAATTTAAAAAGAGCCTATATTTTAAAACTGCTTAAAGGCTGACAATTCAAGGATTTTAAAATATTTTTTCCACCTGCCCTTTTTAACAAGTAGCAGTTTCCAAAACATGTCATAATGGCTTCTTTATGTAAAGAAGGATTATAATTATTGTCCCAAGTAGACTAAGGGTGCTCCATGAGAATGTCATGATCCACCTAAATTTATCGAGAACTGAGTTTCTAGTTCAGATACTTACTAACAAATATCAACTCTGTCTTGAGGTAATTTAATGTAATTTATAACTGTTCAAACGCCTTTGAACTTATAAGTAGTTAAGGTGCAAAGGACACAATCATACAGAACAGATGAGTGGGTTGGGTATACTATAATTTAGGTGTACAGAATTGACAAAATGTAATTTCTTAAGAAAGTTGTTCAGTCACTTTATTCAAGAATGTCTCAGCTTCTTAAAGAAAGTCCAACACACATTTAATATCACAATGTCATTGGATAACTCTCAGGGATGGAATGGGACAATTAACCAGAGGCATATGGCTGCACCCACTTCCCCACAGGCCCTTCCTTGCAGCTGACTAATTGCAGGCATTTATTCTTGGCTGGACCTTTTCCAATGTCCCCCCCTCCCCTTGTCCCACGTGATTCAGAGAGGGACACTTGTCTCCAGCCAAGAAGCTGCAGGGGATGCATACCTATGCATCCAGGCACTGGGCTCAACCCTGCAGCTTCTGCCACCATTCCTGCCGCCTGTTGTGTCCTGCCTGGCCCTGCTCTGTACCCAGCTTCTCTGGACACTGTGGCATTTGGAAGAAGAGCTAGCTGTACACTGGGGCCAGGCAGGATGCAATGGGCAGTAGCCTATGCCACCTTCTGAAAAGCTGGGAAAGGGAAGCTCCTGCCCCCAACCAGCCTTTCCCATGTGGGCAACTCGAGCTCCACCAAGCTGGTGCAGGCAATCTTGACAAGACAGGGTGGTTGGCTCCTGGGCCAGTAAGCTTCAAGCTTTGAGACCCTATTAGAGAACCCTCCCCATTTGCTTCCCTGCTCCATTCTATCCATCTAAATCTCAGGGACATGATTTAGTGCTGCAGGTGACCCAGAGGGGCATGGACAAGCTACACTTACAAATGCCCTTGGTGATTAATCATCTCCTGACCCTGGAAAACATCTGTCCCAAGCATTGGTGGAGGGTCCCCAAGTCCCATCAGTTCAACAAATTGGGCTCTAGTTCGATAAGCAAGGCCAGGTTCTCAAAACTTGAAGCTAGCTGGCTGGAAGCCAACCACCTTGCCCTCTCAAGATTGCCTGTGCCAGGTTGATGGATGTCAAGGCAGTCCACATGATGGGAGGACCTTCTCCTTCCAGTCACAACACTATCTCTCACTGCAGGACCCTTCCCCCGAGTCTGACAATCAGGATGTGGTTTTGAAGGGAATTGTGCATGATACATTTGAATAAGGTCTGGGGCATGTACCTTGGACATATCCTGCCAAGAACGAATCTCCGTTTCATTTTCCAGTCTCCCCACAAAGTACTGGAATCGCCCCTTCAACCATCGTGAATCATAAATTCCTTTCAGGAAGCAGCAGCAGCTGTCACCTGTTGTTCCTGCCTCATCCCACTCTGAATCCTCCTCTTCCTCACAACACCAGAGCATCCAAGGGAAGCTGGATGCAGAGCAGGGTCAGATAGGCTACAACAGGTGGTGGAAGCAGAAGCTGGGGAGTGGAGCCCAGAACCCAGATGTGTGGCTATTTGTCCCATATACAAGTGTCCTTCTGTTTATCGCCTGGGATGAGGGGGTAGAAAACTAGTGGCAGGTGACTAATGGGGGAAGAAAAATACAAATGGAGATCCAGCTGAGGATAAACACCCACAATGGGTCAGTTGCATTGGGGGGGCAGTGAAGGGGGTACAGCCATGGGCCCATGGTTAATTGTGCTAGACCAGTGGTTCCCAAACTTTTTCAGTCCACCGCCCCCTTTGTGCTAGAAACTCATCCTAGGTGCCCCCCACCCAGGGGTGGGATTTAAATTCTGTGGGCATGGCCTAATTTGAGGGCGTGGCTTCCTGGTCACGTGACTGGGTGGGCATGGCTTGCTGGTCACATGACCGGATAAGTGTGGTTTGGTGGTCATGTGACTGGGTAGGCGTGCCCAGGTGACTGGCAAACCAAATGCAAGTGGTCCTCACTTAATGGCCGGTTGTTTAGCAAGTGTTCTAATTTATGACTGGCTTCCCCAGAGCTACTTGATCTGTTTTTGGAATTTTGACAGCCATGCACACATACATACACACACACACACACTCCCTTCTAACACTGCTGGAGAAGGTCATTGGACTAGAATCGGCAAGGCATCTCTGACTAGATTCTAGTAGTGAATAAAATCTAATCAGAGATACTTTGCTGATTCTTGTTGATTTGTATTATTTGTATTTCTTTATTTTATGTTGCTGAATTGCATTGACATTTGTGTCCCTTCTTGTGCACAACCCAGAAGCTTTTGTGATTCTTTGCAGCAAAAATTACCGACCTCTGGCTTTGCTCAACTTTTCAAACGTGCCACCACTGCCGCATTTTAGGTGCCAGCTCCGCAGGTCCACCCCATTGAGCCCGCTGCACTGGAGGGACCTGCCCAAGCAAGTCCGAGTGAAGCAGTGCACCAAGTCAATGGGGTGAGCCTGAGAGAGGGAAAAAGAGAGAGAGAAAAGAGAGAGAGAAAGAGAGAAGGAAGAAAAGAACAAAAAAGGGAAAGAAAGAAAAAGGGACAGATGAAGAAAGAGTGGGGGATGGAAGGAAGGGACAGAAAGAAAAAGAAATAAAGAAGGAGGGAGGGAGGGAGGAGAAAGATAATGAAGTATCTATTCTAGTCCAATCACCTGCTCCAGCAGGATTAGAAGGGAGTGTGTGTGCGTGTGTGTCCTCCTTGTAATTTACCAGTACATTTTGGTTTTGCCTTCTTCAGAATTGGCACTTTAAAACATTGGGGGAAAGTAATTTTTTAGGGTGGAGATCTGATCCAATGGATCCTGTTTAAAGTCTCAACAAAATGACTAGCTTCCTGATAGTCTTGACCATGTTTTGTCCACAAAACGTTTAATAGAAGCCAAAGATGTTTCAATGTGCTGGCAAAGATGTTTCAATGTGGAAAAGGGCCTCAGTCTAGGCCTCATTCAATCTGATGCATCAGGTCTCTCTCTTTCTCTCTCCCACTCCCTCCCTCCCAGACTGGCTTTGCCCTACTTTCCCAATGTGCCTGAGGGGCCGGCGCTTTGAACATGAATGGATGGATGGATGGATAGAGAGACAGAGAGAGACAGGTAGGTAGGTAGATAGATAGGTAAGTAGGTAGATAGATATATTGGTAGATAGATAGGCAGGTAGGCTAGCAGGCAGGAAGACAGACAGACCTTTTGGATGGATGGATGGATGGATGGATGGATGGGTAGGTAGGTAGATATAGATGGATGGATGGATGGATGGATGGATAGATAGATAGATAGATAAGGTAGGTAGACAGAAAAACAGGCAGGTAGGCAGGAAGGCAGGCAGGCAGACAGACCTTTTGGATGGATGGATGGACAGACAGACAGACAGAACGTGACAGCGGTGGCACTTTGGGAAAGTAAAGCAAAGCTGCCTGCCCTGGGCTTCCTCAACCCTGCCCTGCTCCAGGAAGGAGGGAACAGCACTGCCCTCTACAACGTGAGTGGCCGGAGGGGGGGGCACCCTGTGAACTTGCTGTCAGGCAAGGCAACTACAAGGAGGGGCAGGCTTGGCTGAGCAGGATCCTGGATACTGGGCATGTGGTCAAAGCCCCCCTTCCTCTGCCTCCTCCTAGGTCAGAGGTCTGCAACCTTAAACACTCAAAGAGCCATTTGGACCTGTTTCCCACAGAAAACAAAACACCGGGAGCCCCGAGACATGGGTGGGCGTGGCAATTCAATGTCACTTCCACTGAGTCACATGAACACCCCCCCCCAGGTTTTATGGTTTTCTGTGTTTTCTATGGGGAACAAGTTGCTCCCTCTCTCTCTCCTCCATCCCTCTCCCATCTCTTTCTCCCTCTATCTCCCTCCTTTCCTCCTTCTCATCTCTTTCTTTCTTTCTCTCTCCCTCTCCTTCTCCCTCCCTCCTCTAACTTTCTCTCTTTCTCTCTCTCTATGCCTCTTTCTCCCCCACTCCCCACCCGCCTTCCCTATTCCCATACCCAGGAAATAACTGTAAGAAAATTTGGCCACGTTCTTTCTGTCTCTGGAAACCTTGCATTCCAAAAGGAGTGACAGTCAGGCTGTTACCTCACAGTGCTACGAGGTTGCTGCCTTAGATCGCTGCTGAATCCTTGCAAAACTGGGCAAAGACAGAGAGAGGGGAGCAGACAGAGCTGAATTGAGTTGAATCTCTCCCTCTCCATTTGTATCTCTGTGTGTGTGTGTGTGTGTGTGTGTGTATCTCGCTCTCTCTCGCTCCCTGTCTGTGTCTCTTCTCTCTCTCTTGGAAAGCCCTGCGTGCTCTCCTTGGGCTCTTCACTGTCCCCTTTTCTTTCTTCCTTTTGGAAATCTGGACTGGCTGAAGAACGAGAGGAGGGGGAGTGGGAGGAGGGAAGCCTCCACCGCGGCTTCCGCTCGTTCCTCAGCTAGTCCAGATTTCCAAAAGGAAGGAAGAAAAAAGGATAGTGAAGAGTAGAGCATGCAGGGCTTTCTGAGAGTGTGAGAAGTTTCTTTTCTTTCTTCTTGGCAAGTTTTTGGAAATCCAGGTTGGCTGAGGAATGAGCGCAAGCCGAGGCGGAGGCTTCCATCCTCCCTCTCCCCTCCTTCTCCTCTCATGCGCACCCTCCAGGTCCCATCACAGCCGGCTCCATGACTGTTTGCTGCTCTTGCAGCACCCATGCAGCACACTCAAATTTACTGCACTTCACTCCATCCCCTCCTCCTCCTCCTGGACCCCATTACAATGAGGTGCATCGGAGTTGCTGCATTCGAGGTGCTGGCTCCTGATCAGTGCAACGGTCAATGGGGTGACCCTGCAGAGCCTCGAACGCCCCCCTGCTGCCTCTTAGCTGGCCCCCTTGCCTCTTAGCGCTCCCCTGCAGCATCCCACCGCCCCCCAGGGGGAAGTACCGCCCACTTTGGGAACCACTGTGCTAGACCATTTGTGAGTGCAAAGGTATAGATTTCTGATCATAATAGCCCATCGTTTGTGTTTAAGTTCCAGTAGAGGACTATTAAAGATTTTGTTTTAAGTCTTTTACAGTTAACTATTAATTTTCACTCAGAACAATAATATATCTGATAGGGGAATAAATTATGGGAGACCCTATCCATATATCTCTACAAAGCATGGCTGATTAAGCCCTGAATCAATTATTCTAAAGGCAGTGATACAGTGGAAATTTGCCAACTAAATATAAGGCTCTTAAATGACACTTAAGATTATATTTGAATTAAGCTTTTTTTTAGTTCAAGCAATGAGACCCAATAGTTACTCCATCCTGGTCTTGTTCAAACATTTTTTTAAAGTTTGTTTTTCAAAAATGAGTGAGCAGAATGCCATTACAGATGTGAAAAAGAAATAAAGAAAAACATTTGGTATAGATTACTTCAATTGTCCTCATGTTGAAAGCACTCAAGTTAACCAAATAAAAATCAATATTCCCAATGTGCCAATCACTGTGTAATCATGAAGTAGGACAGACTGGCCAGTGAATTTTGTATTATTAAAAGAATTATATTTTCAGTTTGTTAGTTATAGTCCTATGGACCTTAATCAATTAAGTCTATTGATAAATGAATGAATAAATTAATTGATTAATAAATAAATAAAAGCTTCATTTAAAAAAATTGCTTTGCTGTATCAGAAGAAAAAACACTTTTTTCATACCTTGGATTTTATGAGAAAAATATATTTGTTTGTGTGTGTGTGTTTTCTTAAGTTTTTGTGGGTACTTACATGTATGGTATTCAGCTTTGTTCAGGTATTTTCCCACGTCATTATAGCTGTGCTTTTAAAGTTGTAGCAACGTTTTGGCAGAATCTCATCTGCCATCATCAGGCTTGTGTATTGGGTTCGTCTGAGATGTTTCTGTTTTAAATTTGGTGCTAGCCTTGTGCTTTGTTAGAATAGCATGAGGCTAGCACCAAATTTAAAACAGAAACGGCTGCAAAAGCCTGACATACAGATGAACCCAATACACAAGCCTGATGATGGCAGATGAGATTCTGCCGAAACATTGCTACAACATTAAAAGCACAACTATAATGACATGGGAAAATACCCGAACAAAGCTGAAAACCATACATACATACATACATACATACATACATACATTAATATTATAATCACTGAAGGAACATTTTAAAACTCTGCCATGTAAAATTCCTGAATAGAAAATATTGTTATAGGTATACTCTGAATAATGAAACCAGAGTAAACCATTTTAAATCTTTTTCAAATTAAAGTTTAGAAATGTGGCCACTTGTAAAAGAGCTGCTTCCCATTTGGGACTGCAAAAAAGAACTGCAGTTTGATTAAAGAAATTATGATTTAATTGCTACTTGTAAAGAAGAAAAAAGTAAAAGAATTCTATCTATGTACAAAAACTAATACTGTAGCTCTGCTTACATAGAAACAAAATAAATAAAATCAGTTTTATGTATAAATATTGCAGAAACTTTATGGGTACTTTTGCGTGCAAATACTTCTCATTATAGAAGAATGAGTCATTGCTCGCTCCATCTTCGTTTTATAACATAGTAATGTAGATTCTGTACTTTTATCCAGTGGTGGGATTCTAAATTTTTTACTACTGGTTCTGTGGGCGTGGCTTGGTGGATGCGGCAGGCAAAGGATACTGTAAAATCTCCATTCCCACCTCACTCCAGGGGAAGAAAAATCCCCATTTCCTCCCCACTCCTGGGGGAAGGTTACTGCAAAATCCCATTTCATCCCCATCCCACTAACCTGCTTTCCAGCTCCCAGGGCAATAAAAGAAGACCCAACCGACCAGTCAGAGGTGGTATTTGCCAGTTCTCTGAACTATTCAAATTTCTGTTACCTGGTTCTCCAGAACCGGTCGGAACTTGCTGAATACCACCTCTGCTTTTATCACTGAAAGGTCAAATAATGTTATTTCAGATTCAGGTCCATGTTGTCTAAATTAGGGGTGCCCAACCCATGAGCCATGTTCCATTACCAAGCCATAGGCCTTTCAGAACTGGGCCGCAGAAGGAGTGGGTGAGTGCATGCGCGCACAGAGCTCCACTTGCATGTGAGCAAGCAGATACATACACACAGGTCCATTTGCATGACAGTGTGAGCACAGCTCCATTTGTGTAAGTGGCACATTTGTGTGCCTGCCGCTCATACAAATGGAGCTGTGTGCACACCTGTTTGCCCACTGCTCACATGAACCATCCCTTCTCCCACCCCCTACCGGTCTGCAAAGAAAGGTTGGGGAATGCTGGTCTAAATAATAAATCTAATCCAAGCTGGTACAATAAAACACTGCCCACTTGCCACTCCCAGTCTTTAAATGGCTATTGCACACTTCATAAATATGGCCTACTACTTTGGTAAATGGAGCAGTGGTCTTCAGGGTAAATACCCACTGAAAATACAAAAGCAAAAATCTGCAGTTGCTAATTGTTTGTAATACTGTAACTACGTTCATCCACTATTTGACTATTCTCTAAAAGTTTGCATGGCAGCATGATATATTTGGGGTGTATTACACGCTTCCAAAAAATGGGGTTAGAGCTCTAATCAAATCATAGAACTTCAAATTCATTACTTAATGGGCAGAAATGAGAATGCAAGGTACTTCATCCCATCTGGTGCTTTTTTACATCACTATCCCTTCTTTCTCTCCCTCCCCCACTCTCCGTCCCTTCCTCCTTCTCCCTCTCTCTCTGCAGGTTTGACATGTGCCTCTTAAATATCAAGTCACCCTGCATGGATCATTTATCATCTTATCTGAAAGTTGAAAAGAGAATGTGCTGTTTAACTTTTATGACTCTGTGAAAGATATAAGGAAGTTATTTTTCACTTTGAAATAATGCCAGCAGGAAAGGGGGAAGAAAAGGCAGTATATTTAGTTAAAAGATGTTTATTTCCAAGATTTAATGAGATATATCTACCCCATACTTTTCAACATGCAGTTATCTAGGATTATTAAAATCCTGGGTAAGAGGAACAAAACCTCATAACTTTCTAGTTGGCTTCTCTGTAGAGATTCTGTGCTTTGGAGATTATAATCATCACATGTTGTATTCGTTCAAGGACGTTATAAAAATAAATTGAATACATTACCTTTGACTCAGTTCTGCCATTTTAATATAATAAATAGCCAGGAGTTCTGTGAGAGAGTAAAGGTTAAAAAAAAGTCTGCTTGATCATAGGCGATTTTCCATCATAAGAGTTTTGCATCTTGATCAGGAACTGTGGGATTTTTTTAAATAATAGATTCCATAGCCTAAAAAAGTTTGAAACTACAGGCAACAATTATGTGTGTGTGCATATATTACATTATATCATTGCGTATTATATTGTATTATATTATATGGAAAGTACAGCTGGCCTATGAAATCATCCTCCACGCAAGTTTTTGTTTTTCTGATCAATTTATAAATTTACTAACACCAAATCTCTTGTCATCTTGATAACTATTTCTCAAGTAACTACAGAACTTGAGTTGTCTTGTTTCCACACTCCTTTGAAACAAGCTGGAAAGAGACAGCTCTACTTTTATCACTGTATCAATTCAAATTTTGCCTTTTTTTTTCTGCCTCTGTTGGTGTGATACTGAAGCATGTGGGTTCAAGTAACATTTCTGAATGTTTCTTTCCCAGGTTGCAAACTGTTCCTTAAAGAGCAAGATAACATTATTACACCAAGATTTCCACAATTGATTCTTTCAGCAGAATTCTATACTGTCATCATATAAAGTTGTCTCTTATATACTATAACAAATAAACCTTGTCTCTGCTCGCCCCAAAATCATATCCACATGGTTTCTTATTAAATATAATTGCTTCTCCTAGGAACTCAAGAATTTTAGCCTTTTCACGTCTCTACATTTCCTTGAAGTAGAATGAGATAAAATCTGTTTATAGTTATAAATATATAAACATTTACTATGCATATTTTGAATAAAAACATTTCTTTCCTGATTCACTTGATCCTACTTTATACCGAGTTGGTCCAATTACTGAGATTGTTTGTTCTCTGAAGTCTCATAGAATAGTTTCATTTCAATTTGCTCATTCATTTCTCATTCAAGCTATATCAGGTCACTTTTTAAATACTCATTCCTTTCTGGTGGTTTGTTCTCCTTTCTTCAGCCTGCAGCTCACTACTGGTCCACATAAATCAGGGCTCTCAAATTTGATCCCACTGCAGGCTGTATCAGGATTTTGTTTTCCCTTGAGCAGCTGGGGTGGGCCTGGTCATCGTGACTGACTGAGTAGGCGCGGCCAGGGTGGTCCTGGGCTGCTGCAGCAAAGCTGGTCTCTTGCCATGTCTGGGATGGCCCTATGGGGACAACTCTGGGCCTATCTCAGGTTGGATCCGGCCCGCCAGCTGTGTGTTTGACACGTCTGACATAAATCAATACTGACTACAGGGTGAGAGTTTTAACCAAAGTTCTTTTCCAGCCTTCACAAGATGCTTATACCTTCTCACATATACAAAAACAAATCCATGAGATCTGGAACTATGGCCTGAGGCAGGCTAGATAAACTATCCAACTAACAAACATTTTTAAATCAAATTAAAATGATACCTTTAGAAGCTCCCCGGGCTCACTTCCTTCATCCACAACAATCAACTGTGCTCTCCCATTCCGTTCATTGTCTCGAATGCCTGCAGCAACCTGAGTAGCTTTCAAGCGCTCATATTTATTGCAGGTAGAGCCACACCACTGGTAGATATGCTACAAAAAAACAAACACAATTTTGAAGGCATTATATAAGGGAGTCTTTATGGTTGAATTGGGAGAAAATTAAGAGAAAATGTTATTTGAAAATCCCAGTCTGGTTATCAACTATTGAAGCTTTTTCTTATCCTATAATATATGAGAAGGAACAAACAGTTAGATATGGGGAAATATTGGATGAAAAGAGTGAACTTAAAACAATGCAAAAACTAGAAGAACAAGGCATAAAGATGAATTGGTTTTCATATGCGCAAATACATTCAAGGTATCTTATAGATTCTAAAGCGGAGGGATTTTATGATAAATTGACTGATCTAGACAGGATCTTGACAGGTACTGATGAAAAAATGATTAAAAAATTATACACTTATTTGTTGGAAATTTTATTAGAGGAGGAACAAATTAAAGAAACAATGATTGTTTGGGGGAAGAATTTTGGGTATGGGATTGATTTGGAGAAATGGGAAAAATTGTGGTCTCAAAATTATAAAATGACAATGTCAACAGCTTATAAAGAAAACTTGTATAAGATGTTTTACAGGTGACATTTTCCCCCAACAAGAATTGCAAGAATGTTTAAGAACAAATCTGAAAAATGTTGGAAATGTCATCAGATACCTGGCTCATACTACCATATGTGGTGGACTTGTGAGGACGCTAGAAAATATTGGACTAAAATTCGCATATGGCTGGAAAAAATGACAAAGACACATATAGATTTGAAACCAGAGATTTTTTTATTGGGAATCTTACCTGATATATATAATAGAAATTTGAAGTATTTGATTGTAAATATATTAACAGCGGCTAGGATTGTATTTGCTAAGAACTGGAAGAGTGAGAAAATTCCATCAGAAGAAGAAACTATTAAGAAAATATTGGATTGTGCTGAAATGAGTAAATTGACATTTGAAATCAGAGAACAAGAAGATAAACAATTTTATGAAGTTTGGGATCTTTTTTATCAATGGTTAGATAATAAAACATAATGATAGAATATTCAGATTTAGCATAAAAAAATTTTTTTTTCTTGATATTATCTTTTTAAAACATTATTAAGGTAGATTTGGTATGATCTTATGATTTATTGCAAAATAAATTAAGTAAACTATAGTTATCTCGTTAAAATATGAATTAACAAAATTATAAACAATTTTTTTTAGTGATGATATTAGGTTATACAATTATTGATTGATAATATGAGCTATTATGTAATATAATTATACTAGTGACTAGGAAATGGATGCACAAAAAAAAGTGGTAAACCAATCGATGCATTGTATGTTAATTCATGAAGAAGGATATTTTTATGTTTTTTGTGGTATGTTTATGTTTATCTTGTTATGTATGCTTATGTTTATCTTGTTATTAAAAAATAAAAAAAATTATAAAAAAAACAATTTCATATTAATTTAATGTTAATATGGATTACATTTACAGAAACTTTTCCTTTCTGATAGGTTCTAGGCCAGTCTTTTCAAGCTTGATGTTTCCAGATAATACTTTACATATTTTATGGCCAATTAAATAACTGCAGTTCCAGAATAGAGATGCTACATTGTAGTAGGTTAACCTTAAGGATCTTCTATATTTAGACAAGACAAGTTCTATTTTCATAAGAGGAAGCAGAGTTGCACATGTTTTCTCTATGTTTATAAATTCTAGACACATAAATCACAGGTTCTAGGCAAAAGTTTATTCTCAAAGGATCATTTCTGCCAATTATTAACATCTAGCTGATGAAAAAAATGAGATGAAAAATACACAGATAATTAATATAAGCTATCTCATAGCAGAAATTGATTCTGGTTTTGCTGACAAACACATTCTAAGTACTAATTAAATCCAATCCTATTAATTCTTTAAGATACCCATCTTGACTAAGTGGTCACCTACCTGGAATCAGAAAGATTTACAACAATGATTTTAAAAGGCAAACTCAGAACTCCTACTCCTCCAATAAAAGGCATATAAAGAAAATATGGTGCATACTCATTCTGCATGATTCAGCCACCCAGCTACAAAAATTACTAGTTCTGAGGTTATGGCTGATCCACTGACCTAAAAGCACCCTAGAAAGTTTCCTCTTGCTTCCAGAAATAGAGCATGGGAAAAATACTGTAGTATAATTTGAACCAAGGGTTGCCACCTTTTGGACCTCAGAGACCACCAAACTCATACTTTTAAATCTGCTTAATCATAATTGGCCTGGAGGCTGGGAGGATCTGGACGGGGAGGAACTGGCTCTCCCTCAAATGGAAGGAAAGCAGAGCCCTCCCCATTTCCTGTCATTTCATATCTTCCCCAAATCAGAGGAAACCTCTCTCTCCTTTGCCAGGTGTGGCTGCTTGGAGTTGGAAGAGGGAAAGAGGCCTGGGCTGAAAGCAGAGAGGAAGAGGAGCTACTAATAACCAGGCAATACCCCCCCCACTTTGGCCTTCAAGAAGACTCCTCCCCCCCAGGCTAAGCTCCAGGTTTCTCCCGCTACTTCCAAGCAGAGAAGGGTCCCTCCCTGGAGGGACCGAAGGGGGGTGAAGTGGAGGCCGAAGGGGGCGAACCCAGGAAAGCTCTCACCTGCATAAACAAGCTGGTTATTAGGAGCCCATATTCCTCAGCGCTCTTTTGGTCTGGGCATTTGGTCTTCCCCCCCAGGCCAAAGGAAAGCCAGCCAGGCTTCCCCTTCCCTCCTACCTTTCCCTCTGCTTCCTTCCCCCATACTCAATCCTACTCCAGGACAGAGGAGACCGGGCTGGAAATGTGTGTTGGCATTTCCAACACACATTTCTCTGGCGCTCACCCGTTCCTCCAGGCCTGGCTTGCTGAGGGGGGAGAGCAGTCGTGACATTTCTGCTGCCCACCCCCCAGCTCCATCCATCGCTGCCTGAAAAAGGCACAGGAAAAGAAAGCGAGCAGAAAGATAGCTCTCGCTGGGGTGAAAGATCAGAGATTGGAAGGCACAGGCAAGAGAAAGTGGCTCTTTTCAAAGGCAGCAGCTTCTTCTCTTCTTTGATCTCCACTCTTTCACCCCAGTGAGAGCTATGTTTCTGCTCGCTTTTCCTTTGCTTTCCCCGGGCAGCAATAGTTGAGGCCATGGGGAGGGGGCAGCAGAGCAGAGCAGAGAGGGATGAGAAAACTGATGCCTCTGACTCTGCCCCATTCTGGACCTCTGAACTGGATGGTGAATGCAGACTTGCCCACTCCGCCCCCCTCACACCACCAGCAGCGATACTTTTCCTGCCCTGGGCCATCCCTACAGCCCTCAGCCATTGAGGAAGAGCCCAGGACAGGACAGGCAAGCTGAAAGGTGCGGGAGTGCCATGCAAATGCAAATAGCATGGTGCTCCTGCACCTTCCAGCCATCTCCATCACCACTTCAGCCCACCTGTGCCACCATCCTCCTCTGCTGCAACAGCACCATCACCTCATCCTGGCCGGTAAGGGCTGCGCTGCTTTTTTCAGATTTGCACTCGGCCAAAGGATCCAGTGGGTAGACAGGCCATGTGGGCAGTGCATCCTGGATTAATTGCTTTGGAATGGACATTTCTCTGTGGCCCACCAAAAAATTTTCACTGACCACCAGTGGACTGTGGCCCATCAGTTGGCGACTGCTGATTTGAACTATTATTAGCCTATTTGGATGCTATTTAGCAAGGAATAATACTAACGGTTAAGCAAATAGTGTGTTCTCATTTACCAACACATTTGCTAAGAAAAAGTTACAGAACTAATTATATTTCTGATATCACGGAGTATTTGAATTTCCATCAATTTCTACTGCACATAATAGATCCCAACACAGGAACAAAAATTAAAATCATGCTACAATATGGATTTACAAATATATTCAATGATATAACATATCACATATGTCATAGAAAATTAACTTCAAAATTTTGTTTTAGAAAATATTCAATATTTGTTCTAGATATATATTGCATGAATAATTGCTTGGCATATAATTTAATTCAATTAATATTCAATGTTAGCTGAAGTTAAATAGATTTAAATTTATATAGCTCCTGCCTTTACTTGATTAAAAATTATAATTCAGCAGCAACTTGTGTCCAGTGTATTTGTGTGTCATACACACACACAAACATGCTTGAGATTTACTGCACAATATTAGATAGGTCTTTCTAAATAAAACAACTAGATTTAGAAAAACTTTCTGTGCAGTAAACACAACATTGCAAACACAAATACAAAATGTTTATTTTTCTTTTCATTTTAGCAGTCTTTTTTGTAAAAGAAAACAGAGCATAATAACGATAAAGGAGTAAGAAGGACAATATTGGTTCTTTCCATTTTCCTATGTTAAAGTAAAGAGAGTTAAAGTAAAAGAAGGTAAGACAAGGTCCTGGAGTGTTTTTTAGAACACGAGAAGTAAAAAAATTCATTGCTACACTTATATGAGAAGAACTGGTTTAAAAGTTTCCATTAATAGCTTCTGCTTTTGCCGATACAGAACTCTGGAGAAACATCCTGTTCAGACTGGGATTTTCCACTGTTAACAAACTGAGACATTATTTCCATGGCAGACTGGATCAAAAACGTTTTATATAGGATTCATGTAGTTCCTTGAAAATTGGTATATGTGTTGTTTGCCAGTTAGCATCAAGAAAGAAAGAAAGAAAGAAAGGAAGGAAGGAAGGAAGGAAGGAAGGAAGGAAGGAAGGAAGGAAGGAAGGAAGAAAGAAAGAAAGAAAGAAAGAAAGAAAGAAAGAAAGAAAGAAAGAAAGAAAGAAAGAAGAACAATGAAGGCAGCAAAGATATTCTTCTTTTCTACAGCCGGTAGAAAAGGGAAGAAAAGCAAGGTCCAATAGCAAGACTTTCCATAACTGGCTTTCCTTGTCATAGCATTGCTGTTGCACCTTGCAATTGGCCTTGATCCGAGATTTAAATTCCACACTTATGGCTTCAGGCTGTTTCTAATGAATAACAAACTTCTGTCTTTAAACAAAAACTATGTTACCTATTGCCACTAGCAGAATATTTTGTGACTATAGAAACCATATTTTTACATTTCCATGCTTATCTTTGTCTACCTGCCAGAGAAATAACCACAATCTTCTAAATGAAATGAATCATAAAACCATAAAGCTGGAATGACTTTAGGCAACACCTCATCCAACCCTTTGGAGAGAACAGGATGCATTACAGCATTGTTGAGAGATGACCATCTGGCTTCTATTTGAAGAACCCTGGGGAAGAAGAACTTACAACTTTGTGTAGTTGTTTATCTGAAGATTCATATCTTCCTTCAATCATCTACCATTGATTAAACATATGCATTCATTTAATATTTCCTCAAAAGTTTGGTTTCCACACTCCATAGTTTCTTGGTTACTGTCACTGAAACTTGCTCCGATTTGTCAAAGTAATTTATGAATGTCGTACATAGAACCAAACACAATACTACCACAAATGGGCTCTAATCAGGATAGAATAGAGTGGAACAATTACTTTCCATACTCTGGACTCTATGCTCCTATTAATGGATTCTAATATCTAATTTACCTTTTTATCAGTGCTTCACACTTCAGGTTCTTATTTAACTTGTGATCTAAAAAGCTTACTCATGTCCACAATGTGGACAGGTGCATTTATATTTCATTCTCGTCCCATTTCTTTTGAATATCTTGCTTCTGCAATTTCTGTTTCGTTTTGCAGTAAAATTGCATCAAGGGTATTTTTCATAATTCTGTGTATGACACATGGCCCACATTCCAGGATAATCTCTAGCTATGAATCATACCTTCTGACCACTTATAGCGGGAAGAAACTAAAAGGAGGATATACCAAATTTTACTCATGTCTTGTGAGAATAGAATTGTTTCAGTTCTTCAGCACTTCCTACTTTCATGTCAGCCCCCCTGCTTGCTGTCAACTGCCAGAGTAAGTGGGGGAGGACACACAAATTGGCATTTGGATGGGGAAGTGAGCTGAGAAAAGACAGCATGTGTGTGAACCAAAAGGGAGATAGCTGCTGTGCAGCTGCATGGATTTGTTTATGCCCAGTCAAGGTCAACGGTCTTGGTATTCCAGGTGAGTAAAAACACCTGAAGATGCATCCCACAAGACACTATATGAAATGGGGATTGGTTATTCACTGTGGGTCCCTAGGGGAAAGGGGATTGGGAAAACTTTCTATATGTAACTTTCACATCTATTGCCTCAGATCTTGCTTTTCTTTCATTGCTATCATTTCAAACTCAGTAAAAGTACCTCTTCTCTACAATCATGGAATCATTTTTCTTGGGTTTTGAATGGAGGCACCTTTAAGCAAGATCTGCTTTGTCAGCAAACCTAGAGATATATTCTACCATGGGGGCTGAGCAAAGAATGTCTAACCAAGACAGCAATCAGGAGGACATGGGAGTTGCTAGGTCGACCCCTCCTCAGTGGTCAGGAGGAAACTGAGTGGCTGTCAGAGATGCAGATTGAGGAGAAGCCATTCCGAGCCAAATGGTCATTAGGCATAGGACAGATGGAGATTCCTGAGGTGTTTCCCCCAGGAGTAACTGCTGCCAGATGCCAGGATGGAAAGGCTGCCTGTAAGGAAGATGACAAAGAAGATCTCCTGCACGAAACTCTTGAAAGTCAGAGGGCTTGGAAAAGGTATGTTTTGTCTGTGCATGAAGGGGCTGAGGAGCCAGGGGAGCAGAAGCCTCTGCAAACCCAGAAGTCATTCCTACGGCTCAACCAGGGCCAGCACCAGCTGTAGGAATTCAAGTAGCTGCCATAGACCCCCCCCCCACTTGGAGGCACCAAATTCCAAAGGTTCCTCCTCTGGGAGTAAAATATGGAGGGGATCCCAAAGCTCTGGGATTTTTCCTAGCCCAAGTTTGGAATCACATGCCGAAATATGGGGAGGGTTTTGTTTCAGAAATAGCCAAAGTGAGGTGTGTCACCATGGCCCTGGGACTGTGGCTGATGGATGGTCATCCTTCACAATGATGACATGACATGTTTATGACAGCTCTCTGAGCCTGTTTTATAGACCCCCTTGCTGAATGTAAGGCAAAGATCAGAATGAAAACCATAAACCAGGGACGAAGGTCAGTGGCTAAATATACCCAGGAGTTTCCTGAGTTGGCTTGTCACATGCATGGGTGGTCCCAAGAGGCTTTGGAATCTTACAAAGATGGGATAAATGAGGAGGTCTACCAAAGCTGTATCTCTTGAGGGGCCCCTCAAGACCTTCAGCACTGGTATGTGTTGGCAGCTGATGTGGAGATTGACCTGGCCAGAAACTGGCACCATGGGGGCCACAACTGGAACAAGCCTCCATTTTCTACCCCGAGGAGAGGCCCTAGAGCTGCCAGAAGCAGGCCAGCTGCCAAATGCAGGTTCACAGTTTGTTTCAAACCAACACCCGACAGAGGAAAGAAAGTTGAAAAGCCACCAACCAAACATCACAAAATGGCCCTGAAGGCATGGAACTTGTTGAGTTTGGTCCTCCAGAACAGGAGTTGGGAACTCCAACCACCCCAGGGGAGAGTAAAACTGACTCCAATGATGATCCCCGGTAAGTCAACAGGTGGGCCCCATGACCCTCCCATTGGAGTTAAGGGTGCCTTCATCTGACACCCAAGGGAAGATGTTAGCCCTTTTGGATTCTGGGTGTACAAGGTGCGTAATTAGTTCACAGGTGGTGGAGAAACTAGGGCTGAGATTAAGGACATTGAAAGTGCCCATAGCGTTTTGCCAGTTGGATGGATCAGTAGCTGGGAGAGGCCCATCTCACTTCTGATGAAGCCAGTAGAAATGTGGATGGGGGATCACTGAGAGACTTTGTGTTTTATTGTGGCCCCTGGGATGAAGCATCCTCTCCTATGTGGATTGCCCTGGCTCCGGAAATGGAAACCTCATGTGAACTGGAGGAAGGGACTGTTACACACCCATTCCACCCAGCTGCAGAGGGGGAGAGGAAGTCCCCCAGTAATAGCCAAGAT